CGTTCAAGATTTTTAATCGCATCGGTGAGGGGATCCATCAGCTTCAGATCCCGTCCACTATTGGAGGATATTGGAACGCGCGCCCAGTCCCCCTTGTCAGCGTATGTTGGGTCGACCGCTTGGGTGGTGCCATCCTCCATTCGGATCGACCGACTTGTCGCGCGTCGGATAGGCAGTGGAGCACTATCAATTAGTTTGTTGTCTCGAGAGGGTTGGTCCACCGTGGGGCGCGCTGACCGCGGCGACGCCAGCGCCGCGCCCCCTCGCTTCGCAGTGTCCTTGGAGTTGGAGGGCAACCCCCTGGGGGCCAGAGTTAGAGTCTTGCAAGGGCGCAAGCCGTTCCCCAAGGTGCAACCGCTGGGGCCTTTTCCTCTCCCCCTTCCATCCTGGGCCCCTTGCAGTGACCTGCTGGACAGACCCCTGGTGGCGGAGGTGCTCGATCAGCCTTAGGCCTATCGGGGGCCCTGCAAGCTTCTCGAGATAGCTCAAAGGCGCCCATCAGATCGACGGCCAGGATCAATCTTACTCTGGCAGGGCCTTGGGGCTCAGACTCAAGGAGGTTTCTGCCGTTGCGCGTCAGTCTGGCGTGTGGTTGCTGCCTGCTTCCTGGAGCTGGCGTGCCTGATTCGGATGCGCCGCCCCGGGGCCATCCCGAGATCCTCGCGTTGGGCTCGAAGTTGGCCTCGGGTCCGAGCAAGCTCCTCGAGGACCCAGAGTGGATGCGCTTGCGCTCGCATATCCACCTCGGCCCCGTAGATGTTGGCACGTTGCTGCAGTTCCCTGCCGCGGCCAAGCGTCGGGCCGAGCTGTTCGAAAGGCGCTGCCGCACCAAGAGGGCCAGGCAGTGGCGGACTTGGGTGGCTAAAACCCTGGAGGGTGGAGGGGGCCCGGCATGTCGGTTCACCCAAAAACCCCGTGGGTTCATCCCTGGCGACCCCGAGGGTGGGCCCCCGCCCATCCTGGACCAGCAGATGAGCAGCCTGGAGGAGGAATGGGGGGGTGTCTGGGACGCCGGCCCCCCGCGTCGCCAACCTGCCCGGCCCCGTCCAGTTCCTCAGCCAAGTTATTTAGGTTTTGGTGGGGAGCCTCGGGCACAGGCCTCCCCTGGGGACATCCACGCCGTCGCCGAGACCTTCAAGGCTCGCGCGGGGGTCGGCGCGGGCCGCGCCAGGCAGCGCGACGTTTTGTTGCTCTCCGACGCAGGTTTGCAGTGCATGGGTGGCCTTTGGTTTCGCGCGGAGAAGCTAGGCCATGTCTCCGCCCCCATCCGCCGCGTCCCCCCTGCTATGGTCCCCCAAGAAAAGGGACGCAGACGCCCTATCGGAGATCTTGTTGCTACCAGTCGCATTTTCGGCAGGCTCGCTCCGATCGAAGCTAAGAGATAGGAGCATGAGCATTCTCGTGCATGCCTCTTCGGCAGCAGGGGCAGATCGTGCGAGCGTGCCATGTAAGGGGCAATCGGTTCGTACTGAGCATGCGCACTTCTGTTAACAGTAGTCTGCGTACGCACTCGTGGACTTGTCGAAGTGCCATGAGAGGGTCCCTCATGACTTTTTTTTGCGCAGGCTGGAGTGAAGCGCGGCCTTCGAGCGCGCCGACTTAGGCTTCTACTCGCACTATGTCGAGCCATGCGCTCGCTGCAGCTTGACATGCGAGTCCCCATCAATATGTTCGCGTGCCAAAGGATCCTCGTTGGGTGCTCGTTTGCCACATCGTTCTTCTATGTAGCGTTAAAGAAATAACGTGTTGGACGAAGCGGTGCGCCTGCATCCCAGCAGTTCCCTCTACGACGTTGTAGACGACATTGCCATCGGGGCAGTGGGTGGACGCAAACGCGTTATCCATATGGTGCTGGGGGGTACCAGGTTCATCTGCGTCCAGTTGGAGCTCTTGGGTTTCGCCGTCTCGCCCGCGAAGGGCATCGTCGCGGGCTCGTCGGCCAGGGTCGCCCAGGTCATCCGCGCGGGCCTGAAGTTGTGGGACTTCATGGGCTTGGGGGCCACGAAGAACCTGTGGGTGGACTTCGCTGGGGCCCCGGGGCGCCCGACTAGGATCCAGCAGCGCCGGTGGCGGTCGCTTGCCCCGCCGGTCTCCAAGTTCAGAGGCCCCATGTCCATCTTCTCGGGCATGCGCAGAGTCATCGAGCCTGGTGGGGCCCTTGCTGCCTGCTGCGGAGTCAGGGTCGCATGTGCGGCTCCCGCCCAGCTGGCCTCGCTCAGGGCCATCATGAGCAACGCGGCAAGTCGTGGCCGCGCAGTGCAATTCCTCTTCAATCAGGGCCCGGAGCTGGGTTCCAAGAACCAAGTCAATTTTCTGCCCATAGGAATGTGGCATCAGGCGATCCAGCAGCAGTGGCTCCCTAGGTCGATCCCCAGGACGTGCTGGAGGCGCTGCCTGTCCTCTTACTCAGCCGTCGAGTGGTCCAACGTTCTGGGCCCAGCGGGGGCCGTCCTGGCCACCTTGCCGCGCCCGGGTTTGGGAGGGGGGGAGTTCGACGAGTGGGGCATCGGGGGCGGGATCTCGGTTGACCTACCCACCTTCTGTCGGCGCGCGGTGGCGGCCCTGGTCGAGCGAGCCTCGTGCCGCAGGCAGCTGCGCGACGTTTCAGTGCCAGCGGCTGCTGGCCAGTTGAAGCCGCCTCCGCTGTCGGTCATCCGCGAGGAGATCCAGTCTTTTCGGGAGAGCAAAAACCTCGACGCGGCCATTTTCCTCAGCGGGGTGGTTGCAGGCGGCTACCTCTGTCAGTTTTAGCTGTTCATGGACCGAAGAGTTGTCTGCCCGTTCTGCCTCCTGCGTGGCCTCGCCGTCGCCCCCCCCCCCCCACGCCCCCCGAGCGCGGGCTCTATGAGCGCCCTGGCTTCCACGTATTCCGACGAGACCTGGACTTCGGAGATGCTTTATTATTGTATACCAGCGCCCTTGCCCCTGACCCTGGAGCCGACTGGCCCTCGCTGTCCTTGGCCCCGTCCAGGCGCTGGCACGCGCGGCCCCCGCCCTCTGGACTTTGAGGCCCTCGGCTTTGCATCGGCGGGTCAGGGCTCGACCAAGACGACCCATTCTCGTCCAGGATTGCATGGGCAGTTGTGAGCATGCAGGAAGTAGGAGGCTCTGATGGCAGCGTTTTTGGGCCCTCACCCCACCCCTCCAACGTAGTGTGGGGGTGGTGGTGGTGGTGGTGGTGGTGGTGGGGGGAATTATGCCCTCCTCATGGCCGCCCGTTTAACTCCCCCTGGTTCCTTTGTCATATACGCGGGCTAAAGATGATCGCGGCCCACCTCTCCTGGTAGATTTGCCCCGGGAACTCATGGCGTTCCGTTCTGGGCTTGATTTGGCCACGCTTTGGCAGACAAGCTGGCGAGGTGCTCAGGCGGCGCAGGTTTCCAACCCGCAGCTGGTGCGATGGCGCAAATATCATCGCGACTCCGTCCGTTTGTCTTGCAAGTTCATTGGCGCCTTCGGTAAGCACCTGTCTCAATATAACTTCTCCGACGTGCAGCGAGTCAAGAAGACCCGCCGTCCGACGTTCGATGGCCTCCAGCTCGTGCCCGACCGCCAGGGCCACGCGTTGCGGCGAGTTGGTGAGGCTGGAAGGCATACGCGTGCAGCCGCTGTGGAGGTCGAGGTCTGTCGGGGCGCGCAGCGTGCGCCATGCCATGCGCGGGCCTCCCCAGGCTCGCCCGCCAGGCCCATGAGTCACGTCGGTTCTGGCTCATGGGCTCCTCCCTAGTGTGGTGCTCTGAGGCTCCGCTTGCTCGGGGGCCCCTGCCGCGGGGCCCGCGCAACATTGGCGGATCGAAGTCCCTTGGGCAGCTTAAGGTGGGGAAGGATCCGTCCACCAGCCGCGTGGTGGGCCGATCCTTCCGCCTCGCCATGTCTTGATTCCCTACCTAGGCTCTGTCTAGAAGGGTTCTTACCCTCTGTCTTAAAGGGGCCGGGCAGTGCTGCCCGCCCCGGGCGGTTCCCCCGGCATCCGCCCCGCGTTTCCCCCAGTTACGTCCCCTTAGCTTAGCGTTGCTTATCTCATCTTAGCTTGGCTTATTCCCTACCTAGGCTCTGCCTAGAAGGGTTCTTGCCCTCTAGCTTAAAGGGGCCAGGCAGTGCTACCCGCCCCGGGCGGTTCCCCCGGCATCCGCCCTGCGGTTCCCCCAGTTGCGCCCCCCTGGGTTCACCCAGCTTAGCTCAGCTTAGCTGAGCTGAGCTTAGCTTAGCTTAGCTGAGCTGATCTTAGCTTAGCTTAGCATTGCCTAGCCTATCTTAGCTTATCTCATTTTAGCTTAGCTTAGCTTAGCTTAGCTTGGTTTCGCTTAGCTTAGTTTAGCTTAGCCTAGCCTCGCTTAGCTTAGTTTAGCTTAGCTTAGCTTACCATCGCCCATATTACCTTAGCTTAGTTTAGCGCAACGCAGCATAGCGCAGCGCAGCATTAACACATCATATCATATCATAGCATAGCCAATCATATCACAGCCTAGCATAGCTTAACGTATCTCACCATCTCATTGCATATCATATCATATAATAACCCAGCATATCATAGCGCAGCATATCATCACATTTCACATCATACCATATCATTGGTTATCAACACACAACGCATCATATCATATTAAGACACATCCTATCATAGCTTACCAATACATATCATACCATACCACACCATCTCATAACATATCGTAACATTGCATTCCACATCGCAGCATAGCATACCAACGCACGGCCTAGCATACCATAGCGCATCATATCATACCATAGCATAGGTGTAGGTGTAGATGTTGCTTTCCTAAATGCTCCAACTCCTAGGTCGGGTCGCATTGGGATAACTTTCTTATGTTTACCTGAGCGTCGTGTTTCATATGGAGGCATACGTTCCGCAGCTTGAAAGAGCTTGAAGGAGGAGGAGGATGAGGAGGAGGCGGAGGAGGAGGCGGAGGAGGAGGAGGAGGAGGAGGAGGAGGAGGAAGAAAAGGAGCCGGGAGGCAGGAGGAGGCGGGGGCGGAGTGCTCGCGACGCGGGCTTGGACCGCAGGGCGTCGTGGCCGAACGGCCGCCGCGCGGACTGGCCGAACGCCGCTCCGCCGCGCGGCGCCCAGAGCAGACGGCGCTCCCTCGCGGCCGCCCGCCGCAGCCCGCCGCCGCTGTCCTGCGCGCCGCCGGAATCGCCGGCGGCGCCGCCGCACGACGACGACGACGACGACGATGACGATTTGAGATGGTTAATTGTTGGGCAGTCCTTTGTAAGGAATTTGTATTACAAGCTTGATCTAGTAATTGTCTTTTGCGGAGGACTTCTAAGTGAGTTTTCACCTGCTAAGGATCCCGTGGCGACGACTCCGAAGTCTGGATTCCCCGTTCATCTCCGAGTTGCTAGCGCCATTCAGCCGACCCCTAAACGAAGTGAGGCCTCGTGGGCGTCTTCGTGCGCGTCTTGAAGCCTCGTCAGAGTTTCCTGGGCGCTTGCTGGCTGTTTCTGGGACGCTGCCGCGCATGGGATGCTTTCCAGAGTCCAGGTGCGTGGGAGGAGTAGCCGCGGCGCAGTCGTCTCGAGAGGACGCTCTGAAATATGCTGCGCTTCGCGCATGAAGCGAGATGCTCCCGGAGTGACGTCGCGGATTGTCGATATAACCTTCTCATCCTGGGATTCGGAAAATGAGGGAGGAGGAGGAGGAGGAGTAGGAAAAGGATCACATAGATAACGACGACGGTAAGAATAATGATGCATAGGAGGAGGATATCGAGGACAACGGGACCATTTGTGATGTTGTCTGGGCCTCAGTTCAGGCCCCCGTCGTGCAGCTGGGGGGTGTCTTTGGGGATTCTCGGGAGCTTCTGGGGGGTCTCATTTGAGAATTTCTGAAGCCTCCTGAAACTTACGGGGGCATCTTCGCGGCCTGCTGGCGGCCCAGTTGGCGGCCTTTCGATGCTTAGGCGAGGCTCCTGGGGGTTTTGAAGCCCTTTGGGGGCTCTCTGGGGGCCTTTTGGAGCCAGTTGGAGGTCTTGAGGGCCATCTTCTGGGGGAGGGCTCCCAGGGCCTCTGCAGGTTCCCCCAAGAGTCTCTGCGATCGAATCGGCGCGATGGTGGCTCAGTGTCAGCATGGCAGACCATGCCAGGTATGCGCGCGTCCTGGATGCAGCGGCTGGGCGTGCAGCGGCAGAGGTGCTACCTTTTGCACCATGTGCGAGTTGCAGCTCATGGGCCACAAGCAGCAGCGCGACCAGCGTGCAACAGGCGGAGTTGGAGGTGAGGATCTCGCACCCGGTCAGTCTGGTCGTGCCGAGCGCGCCGCTTCTTCGGGACAGGACGACCCCAATACAGGTCGTGGGAGATGGCGGCGCAACAAATCCAGGGCCTGAGATGATGAGCGGCAGCATGTCCAGCCTCGAGGAGTTGTAGCCGCTCCCGCAGGCGAGCCCCCCCCCCTCATGTTGGCCCAAGCTCAAGTGTCATTCCGGAAGGAGTGATCTGGTGACGGCAGCACTCAGTATGAGGACGCGATTGAGGCTTGCAAACAGTCAAACAGGCCAAACAACAGTCGTTGGCGGACATGCGCCCGGACCAGCTGGCCCAGAGCATCAACGACCAGTTCGCGCAGCGGAGACGCAGGTTGGCCAACGCCACGGACACCCCGGGCCAGCTGACTGACCAGATGGCGACGCTGGCGGAGCGGCATAGCACGGCCCTCTCAGACTTCATCGGTATCGGCAAAGACATGCCAGTATTTCGAGGCGCAGCTGCAGGCGGCCACGCGCGCGGTGGCATCTCCGCTGGCGCGGCAGGTCTCCATGTCCGAAGCGTTCAAGGATATCATTGCCTCCCGTGCCAATGCCCTCGCGGGCAAGTGCCTCCAGAAGTTGATCAGAAGTTGGCAGATTTCGCGAAACTCTTGGATGCTTCCAGATGCAGCAGGACGAGAGCCAGTCGGAGGCGCCACCGCGTCAGCATGCACAGGTAGCTGCAGCGGCAGCAGGTGTTGCGGCGGCGCCTGCAGCTGCAGCGGCAGCAGGCGCTGCAGCAGTCGACATCCTGTTGAGCGGCAACGACCCCGACGAGGTCATGGAGGAAACTCGCAAGAGGGCGGCCCAACACATGCAGGGCGCCATCCGTGGCCTCCAGCAGGCTGGCCGCAGCGACGACCAGACCACCGAGAAGTTCAAGCTGGCCAACGGGGCGGGTTCACCGCAGAAGGAGGCGGGGGACAGCGCAGCAGTGGCAGCAGTGGGGCATCATATGTTTCAGCCAGATCTGCATGATGACATTCAACGGAAGATGCTGGGTATAAGTCAAGCAGCTCTTGGAGTCGCAACTGTGCGAGGGGGCGAGCAGCACCTGTGCCCATAAGGTGAAGCCGTGCAGTGAGCAGGCCATCGCGCGAGCCAGCCAGTGGTGCAGAAGGCGTGGATGGCACGCAGTAGTTCAGGCAGGCGCACTTGAGTTCTGCGCGACCCCCCCCTCGAGTTTGTGTCCTGGTGCGTTCTGGTTTCGCCTTTCGGTATCATGGATGTGGGTGTCCTCTGGGGGCCCGTCAACTCTTTCCTGGGGCGTCTCGTGGATGTTCGAGTGCAACTGCCTGGGCTTGGAGACATTGGCATTCTTTCTACTCGTATGGGGGTCAGACCCGGTCTGAATGATGCACGCCTAGGCCTGTTAGCGGCTGCCGACATCATCCAGGAGAGATGGCACATCCCCATGATCATGGCAGGCGGCTCTAACCAGAACCGCAGGCGAAGACATAATCGTGGCTTTGTGCAGCGAGTGGGCATGATGGTTGGGGCCCCCGAGGGCCCCGCTGTCAAGACTGAGTTCAGGCGTTGGACTCTGGATCGTTTTGTTCGCGGCAGTTGTTTTGGGACAGGTCCTCGGACAAACCGTGGTGCACTTCAGTTGCCTTCTATCTCCTCGTCGGCCTGTCAGTGTCGGCCTCTGACAGACGAGGGCTACGCCGTGCCGGCGCCGTGCAAGCCGCGGCGACTACCTGCCGTGCCTGTCTCTGGGCCGCGCCGCCAGGGGCAGGCTTCGGGCGTCGCCGCAGCCGGCCGAGGTTAGGCTGAGCGTCTGCTCCAATCCTGTTCCCTCTTCGGAGCAGAACAACGGCGCAACGTTGTGGATCAGTTCTGGATCAGTTCTAACATTGCTTCGCCATCGGTTGGGGCAGCGCCGCTGCTGATTTGACGGGCGGGACCCCCCTCCGCCCTCGAGCTGGCGCGCCGAGGATCGAGTGGGTCAGGGCAGCCACTTCTTTGCAGAGCCGTCGCGTCTCGCGGATGTTCCGCGCGGGGCAGCTGCGGCGGCCGCGCAGTGCGGCGCGGTGGTTTTCCGGCCACCTTCGCAGGCCGGGCGCAGCCGAGCCCCAGCTACTCGGTGACGGCCTGGGTCGTAACCGAGCCGAGTTTCAGGAGTCCGAGGTTCCCGCGGGTCACCTCGACGACCGCCCCATCTCCCTCGACCCCGGCGTCCTGGATGTCGGGGGTCAGGGCTCAGACGTAAATGGCGGGTTGATTTTGGTGTAGCGTTCTCACCGCCGCCGCTGCGGTGATACTTCTGGAGGTCGGGTTGGGGGAGCAGGAGGCGTCTCGGGGGTGGGGTGATTGGGCGAAGGTATGGTCTCGAAGGTAATGCTGGCTGGGCTCGCAAGTGGACCAGCGGTTTGGAAGCTTGGCGCCCCTCTGCAGTGCCATCGAAACCCTTGGTCTGGACGGCCCTCCAAGATCCTTAAGCGCGATGCGGGACGGCTCAGCGCCATGTGGGGCGCCGCTGCGACCGTGCCGAAGTGCCGCGTGGAGCCTGGCCCTCAAAGGGCCCAATTGGCCCCGCTGGAGCCCTGGCGCCTACTCGACGCTGCCAGGGCGTTCGCCCGCGTCGCAGCCTCGTCGCGGGGCGGCTTCCACCCCGAACTTTTCAACGCCCCTCGTTGGCGCAGGCGTCTCGCGCGTGCGGGTTTTTGGAGCTGGTCGAGAAGATTGGCGGCGTGCCGACCCATCTGCAGGCAGTTGTATCGGTCCTCATCTCCAAGACGACCGCCATGGCCAAGGATCCCCGGCCCCAGTTCCAAGGCGTAGGTCTGATACCAGGCATGTTCCGCATTTGGAGCAAGGTTAGGCAGGGCGAGGCCAGGGTGTGGGAACGTAATCGCAGACGTCAGTATTTGGCCCGCCAGGCAGGTTTAGGTATCGCAGAAATATTAGTTCGTCGAAGTCTCATGTCGGAGAGCGGCGTCGATTCCGCCAGAACGATCCGTTCCGGTGCAGTGTTGTCGGGCCTTAGCATGTACTACGAGCACATCATTCATTCCAAGCACATGGGGATCACCCATGACACGGGCTTCCACGGCCAACCTGTCTAGGTGAATTTGACACACTACAGCAGCCAGCGACTAGTAGCGACCAGGGACCTCGTCCAGATGGTTGATCACCCCGCTCGATGGATTGCGGCTGGATGTGGGTGGGCTGCGCTTTTGGTCCAGGTGTGCTGTATGGCCTTCTTGGTCTCCTCGCACCGCGGGAATAATTGGGGCTGGATTCGCCAATGTTTATTGATGATTTCTGTCTGAAGCGACAAAATTAGGATCACCAGGTTCCTAGTCAGTAGGCTGCAATCCTCGGCTGCTAGGCTAGCAGCTGTTGCGCACAAGGGCCCGGGGTGCCAGTTTGCCCTGCACAAGGTGCAGGTCATTGCGTCGAGCTTCCCGCTAATGGAGCGTATTCGGAGAGCGGTTGGGAAGTTTGCTGGCCCCGAGGACGCCCGCGCAGCCACCAATCTTGGCATTGATGCTCTTGCTGAGTATCCTACTGCTGCTTTGAGAGTCCGAATCAGTAAGAGACTCGCCGAAGCTCCACTCTATCGTCATTTCGTTCGACATAGGAGAAAGAAATGGAGGAGGAGGACGAGGAGGAGGAGGCATCGTATATGGGCCATCAAGGTTGCTGGAGGAACTGACAACACATTTTGGAAGACGGGGCTCCAGCAGGGGCTCATCTATGGGACGGAGGTTGCTGGTGGTCCAGCCACAGAGAGCTCCGCCCATGTAGGGTTCAACCCATATAGGGTTCTACCCATGCACGGTTCAGCCAGCCAATTCGGGTTTCAAGCAAAACGGCCCGAGAATGTTTCGAGACGGGCAAGTTGTTCGACGCGGATTTCTTGCGCGCCTCTCCTTAACACTTCCCGTTGTGAGGGCCACGTCTGGGCGTGCGACAGTGTTGGCCTGCGGCGACTGAGTGAGCGTGTCCTCCGGCCCCCCCGACGCCTGCTTGCTCTCCCCGGACATAGTCTCGAGCAGCGCCCCGATAGCTTGATTCCGAGGCGGGAACTTATACATGACCACCGCCTGGAGGATCAATTTGTGAAAACCTCGGCAGGCGGTGGATATGGATGTGTTCGGGCTCCCGGGAGCCTATATATGTATGTATGTATGTATGTATGTATGTATGTATGTATGTATGTATGTATGTATGCATGTATGTATGTATGTATGTATGTATGCATGCATGCATGCATGTATGTATGTATGTATGTATATATGTATGTATGTATGTATGTATGTATGTATGTATGTATGTATGTATGTATATATGTGCGTGTATTCATATATGTATGTATGTATGTATGTATGTATGTATGTATGTATGTATGCATGAATGCATGCATGCATGCATGCATGTATGTATGTATGTATGTATGTATGTATGTATGTATGTATGTATGTATGCATGTATGTATGTATGTATGTATGTATATATATATATATATACATATCCATATCCACCGCACGCTGGGGCACCAGGGCGTCGGTTCCCAGGCGGTGGATATGGATAAATCCCCGCCTCGCATTTGATTGTAACAGGATGACTGATGGTCACGGGACAGAAATAAGAAAAAGGAGCAGGCCTCTGAAGCCGGTAGTTTTTTCTGAAAGGCCTTTTGATGATTGCATAGAACCACGACGCAAGCAACGGTAACAGGATGACGTAGTCCTCGGAACCGCCGGCCGCTGCTCGAGCAGTGCCCCGGTCGCTTCTGAATAATCACGCGCTTTTCGGACGCGAGCTCCACTTTTGATGGTATCGACGACGTTGGGCTCAGTTTCGCGCGCTCTGATAACATCTCAGGTGGCACGCGTAGCCATGCTGGCTCAAACTTTCTCTGCTCGATCAGGCTTGCCATGTCCTTTTATCTACGGCTACCGTGCTTCCATGTGTCCCCAACGAGGCCGCCATGGCGATCCGACGATTCCACCATGAGGAGCAGTGGCGCAGGGACCAACGGCTCGTGAGGGCAATTCGCGTGAGCAGCAGTGGGGAGGACGGCGCTTGCCAGCGATTGAGCCGCACGGCTGCGAGGCGGGGAGCTCGCCCTGCCCTGCAAGGCGCACCTTGCCGACGAGGAGGCTCGAAGAAGAATCATTTACATGAACATGCAATTCGTCAAGGCGCCAACATCGCAGAGCGGATTTCGTATGGAAAACGATAGGATGGGTCCGGAGTGTCCTGGAGAATTTCGTTCCGGATTTCGAGGGGAATTTCGTGCGGATTATTTTGGCCAAGCATGAAGACTAAAACAAATCCACGTGAAATTCACTTCGTTTGTCGCTCGCCGCTTCGGGCGAAAGTCCGCGCAGAAATCCACGCAGAAATCTGTTGCAGCACGTCTGCAAGGCCGGTGCAATGACATTTGCATGAACATGCATTTTCGGAAGTCCGCGCGGATTTCTTGGATCGGCGCTGGACCACCATTGGCAACGCGTCTGGCGCCGCCCTGGGCGCGTTCCGTGCGCCAGGGCGGGGGGTCCAGCGCCGATCCAAGAAGTTCGCGCGGACCTCTGACAGTTTGACGGTAGGCTTAAGGGAATATTCATAAGTAGTCCCAGCACAGTCTGTGGACGTTTTTTTTCTGCATTTTTGTTTTTTTGTGGGAAAAGTTCTTTTGAGTATTTCCCTACCTAGGCTCTGCCTAGAAGGGTTCTTACTCTCTAGCTTAAAGGGGCCGGGCAGTGGAAAGCGCCCCGGGCGGTTCCCCCAGTCCCCGCCCCGCGGTTCCCCCCAGTCCCCTGGGAGCTTTAGCTTTAGCTTTAGCTTTAGCTTTAGCTTAGCTTTAGCTTAGCTTTAGCTCAGCTGTAGCTTAGCTTTAGCTTAGCGTTTCGCTTAGCTTTTCGCATAGCGTTTAGCTTAGCTTTAGCTTAGCTTTAGCTTAGCTTTAGCTTAGCTTGAGCTTAGCTGTAGCTTAGCTGTAGCTTAGCTTTAGCTTAGCTTTAGCTTAGTTTTAGCTTAGCTTTAGCTTAGCTTTAGCTTCGCTTTAGCTTAGCTGTAGCTTAGCTTTAGCTTAGCTGTTGCTCAGCTTTAGCTTAGCTTTAGCTTAGCTTCAGCTTATTAACTTTAGCTTAGCTTTAGCTTAGCTTTAGCTTAGCTTTAGCTTAGCTTTAGCTTAGCTTTAGCTTAGCTGTGGCTTAGCTTTAGCTTAGCTTTAGCTTAGCTTTAGCTTAGCTTTAGCTTAGCTTTAGCTTAGCGTTACTGTTACTACTAATGCTGCTTTCCTAGGGGTTCCAACTCCTAGGTAGGGTCGCACTGGGATACTTTGATTTTTTTGTCCAACATCCGCCCGCAGGGGGACATACCAAACCTCACAGTAGGTTGTGTCGTGTCGACGCGTTAGCACGTTCAAGGTTGAACACTGCCAGTAGCCCAGAAACATCCAACAAGGAACGATCCAGCGATCGAAGAACCGCTGATCGTTCGAGGTTGAGCGATCCACGCGGTGTCAGAAACCAGCGCCGAGGTCTTCACGACGCGAACTTGCCGTATGTTTGTGCAGTGGTTGGGCCCCGTGTTCCTCGCAGGCGAGCCGGTGGGCGTCGCTGGCAGCCGTTCCCCACGTTGGCCAGCCGCCTCAGGCGTCGAGGGCCAGAGGAGGAAGAGGTGCCGATACCGCTGCCACGTTAGCCTTGTTTTCGTCCTTGTCGGCCTCCAGGGAGGCCTTCGGTAGCAAATCATGGGAGCATTCTGCGTCCTCAGAGTCTTGGACACTTCGCGCGACCCCAGCAGTCCATCCAGAAACGATGCCCAGGCGAGTTGCCTTGATCAGGGATTTGGAGGAGCATGTAGTGGAATAAAGTGCTTGGTAAGACGTCGTGCCCGAAGAGGGGGAGGATGGAGGAGGAATCGAAAGAGGAGGAGGACGAGGAGGAGGATGAGGAGGAGGAGGAGGAGCAGGGGTTGATAGATGAGGAGGGGGGGAAGGAGGAGGAAGGAGGAGGAAGGACGAGGAATAGGCAGATGAGGAAGAGGAGGAAGAGGAGGAAGTAGGAGGAGGAAGGCGAGCAGAAAGGCAAGATGCCAATCTGATGCCTCTCGGAGTCTCTTCGGATGTCTTTCGAGAGCCTCTTGGTGGCCTCTTGAGACGTCTTGGGGGTCTCTTGGCAATCCCAGAGTCCTCTTGGGGCGACTTGGGTGCCTCTGGGGGGGCTCTTGGGGCCTCTTGGTGGCCGCTTGGGAGCCTCTTGGGGGCATCGTGGGTGCCTCTGGGGGCTTCTGGGGGCCTCTTGGTGGACTCTTGGGAGCCTCTTGGTGGACTCTTGGGAGCCTCTTGGGGCCGTCTTGGGGCACCCTTGGGCGCCTCGGGGGCCATCTTCGGGCCACCTTGAAGAAGACCGATCAAAGTATATTAGTCAATTTTCGTCCCCCCCGAGAGGCCAACACGTGGCCAACATCTTGGTAACAGCAATGGTTTTGTCCTCGCCGAGGCCTCTTGGGCGTCTTGGGCGCCTCTGGGGGGCCTCGTGGCGCCTCGTGGGGTGTCGGCGCCCCCCTTCTCCTCCAGTGGCGGTGGGTGGTAATCGGGCTGAGTCTCTGCTGGGGCGCCGGGCGGGAGGTTTGCTCTGCCACGGCGGCATCAGAGCAGGCGGCCTCAGAGCAGGCTCTGCCACGGCGGCCAGAGGCCGGGGAACATGCGGCAAGCAACAGGGTTTCTATCGCATTTTCAGATTCTTCTCAGCCCTCTTGGGGGTCTCTTGGGAGCCGGCCGTCTGTCGCTGGAGTTGCGCAGCCGAAGCAGTTAGTGCGGCAAGTTTTTTTGACATATGCGAGCCCGCCATTGGGCCTGTACACCAGTCGACTTTTCGCCCAGTCCGCCTCAGGTGACTGGTTGTACCTCCAGCAGCAGTTCTCGAACGCCTGACCCTGGAACGTTTAGGTGAGACGGACGGAGTCCTCTCACTGATTGATCAGCGCACTGATCGCACTGGTTGGTAGGGACGGACGGAGTCCTCTCACCGATCAGCGTACAACGTGCTCTGGGATATCCGTTGGTGCGGCCCACCATTACTGGGGGAGTCGTCTGTTGCTGGAGAACCGCAACCCAATCAGTTGGAGCAGGACGCCTCTTTGCAAGTGCCAGCCCGTCAGTGGGCGTGTACACCAGTCGTGATTCGCCAGGTCCCCCTCAGGTGGTTGGATGCACCTCTAGCAGCTGATCTCGAACGCCTGACCCTGGAACGAAACATGGGCTGGACGGGGTACCCGTTGGTGCGGCCCATCATCGCCGGGGAAAGGAGGTCGGGGAGCGGGGGTGCAGGACGAGGAGGAGCATGGATGAGGAGGGGGACGTGGAAGAAGAGTGTGTTAGTACCCACGACGTGGGAGAAGTGGGAGATTCGCTGGCAGCGCTGGAGGAGGTGGAGGCGGAGGCGGAGGAGGAGGCGGAGGCGGAGGAGGAGGAGGCGGAGGCGGAGGAGGAGGAGGAGGAGGAGGAGGAGGAGGAGGAGGAGGAGGAGGAGGAGGACTCCTGGAGGACCGATGCCGATGGAGCTCGGAGCCTTCGGGGGCAAGGGCGGAGGCAAGGGTGGCAAGAAGGGAGATGGCCATGGCTACCCTCAGCCTCCGAAGCTGGTCGGCCCGTGCCGCAACTGCGGCCGCCAAGGGCACCTCGAGAAGGACTGATGGTTCGCCGACAAGGGCAAGGGCGCGGCGGCGGCGGCTAGGTCAAGGGAGACGATGGGAAGGTCAGCAAGGGAGGCCGAGGCGGTGGAGGAGGGCCCGGCGGTGGCGTTGGCGCTGGGCGCGGCTCAGAGCAGCGCACGTGCTACAAGTGCAACAAGCTGGGCCACATCGCCACTGACTGCAAGCAGCGTGAGGTCTCGGCTGTCGAGGGGGGCCGTGAGCTGGAGCCTGAGAAGGCCATCCGCGGGCTCTTCCTCAACGCCCTGAACGAGGGCGACGCGGCGCAGGAGGCCTACGACCTGCTGCAGGACAACGGGATCGCGAGCGAGGAGCTCTACGGCAAGCTGCTGGAGCTGGGAGCGGTCGCTCGCGGCCCTCGGAAACTCGTGATGGTTGTGGACTCCGGTGCGGCGACGACGGCGATGCCCAAGGAGAGCTTCGCAGACTACCCGTTAGTGGAGAACGAGATGAGCAGGAGGGGCGAGGGCTGCCGCACGGCTGACGGTGGCTGGGTCCCCGACTGCGGCACGCGCGAGCTCGTGGGCGAGATCACCGCCGCGGGCGGCACGCGCGTGATCAAGGACATCACGGCGAGGGTGGCCCCTGTGACAAACGGGCTGGCCTCGGTCTCGGATATGATCGACGGACGCAGGGCACACGATCGCCTTCGGCCGCGAGCGGAGCTTCGCGAGGAACAAGAGCACAGGGCAGGATATCAACTTCGTGAGGCGCAACAGCGTGTACGAGATGGAGTTGGACGTCTACCCGTACGTGAAGGCACGCGAGGTGCTGGGCCAGAGGCCGTCGGGTTTCACCCGGCAGGCCTGACCGCTGTAAGCCCGGCGGGGGGCCTTGAGATCTGCCCGTTGCGTGGAGGTGGAGACGATGAGCTCCCTCCAGTCGTCGAGGATCCCTACGACGAACACCCTCTCCTGGCACAGCTGGTTGAGGACGGCGAGCAGCGTCCCCCGGCACAGCCGGGTGAGGACGGCGAGGGCGATGCGGAGGCCCCAGTGATCAGGGCCGCGAGGAGACCGTGGGAACCCACGGAGCAAGAGAAGATGGACCACGAGGTGAGCCACGTCCCCTTCTGGGCGTGGTGCCACCAGTGCGTGGCGGGCCGCGGACGCGCGGCCCCACATAAGCAGTGCGACCACACGGAGGACGGAGTGTCCATCGTCGCGATGGACTGCGCGTATTTGGGCGGCAACGAGGACGGCGAGGACGGGCTCCTCGCCGATCCTGGCGGTGCGAGACTCGGCGACTCGATTGACTTCGAGTGAGGTGCTGCCGAGCAAGGGGCTGACACACCCCTTCAACGTGGAGACGTTGGTGCGGCTCTGTGTGCAGATGGTCCACGCGAAGATGTACTTGAGGTCGGACCAGTAGAATCCAACCTGGCCTTGAAGGCCGCAGCTGTGGTGCAGCTCAAGGCGAAGGGTGTCGCGGTCATGACCGAGGAGTCGGCCGTGGGGCCTCGTGCGCACGCTGCGGCACGCGGCGGAGGAGCTGCACGTGGCGGTGTTCGGGCAGAGTCATCCAGTTCTGCCCTGGCTGGTGCGGCACGCTGGCTCGATGCTGAGCCGAGGCCAGCGGGCAGCCGACGGCAGGGCGCCGTGCGAGCTGAGGAAGGGCAGCACGACCCACAACAACATTCAACACGCGATCATGGCGCAGACGCAGCACCACGCAGCACGCCCACGACGCAGCACGAGCAGACCCACAACGCAGCACCACCGACCCATGGGGACATCGTGGAGGGCCTGGCTGCCCAGTGGAGGGCTTTACCAGCTTACGACATCCATGACGGCACCGTGGACGAGTGGTGGACGGACTGGAGTGCACGAGCAGAGGCAGCACTACAATCCCAACCCGCGGTGGCCCTGACCAAGCGCGCTGTCCCTAAATCTGACTTCTCGTTTGCCCAGTGGGAGCGAAGGGAGAAAGGCGACGACGTCTGGACCCGGCACACGCGGCAACTGCGGCAACTCATCCAACGGCTCCGGTCCCCGCCGGCACGGCGAGGGCGGAAAGCAGCCGGGAAGATAGCACAGTGGGAACGGCAAAATCGGAAGTTGTGGCAACAGAATATGGGCGGCGCCAAGCCGGACGACGACCAAGAAGCCATCGAACAAACTACCAAAGCGCTCGGCAAGGCCATCCAAGGGTGCAAGAAAGAGCGTGTCAAATGCTGGCGGAAGAGGCTCCAGGCAGATGGTCTTGGGAAGACCACAGCAGCTTGGATCCGGAACGCAGTGAGCACCTGCCACAACGTAGCGGTGCAGGACGACACCAAGAGCGACCATGACAGCGGGAACTTGCAACTACACGACGACTCCACGCCCGCCAATTTCTTTTCACAAGACGCGGTGGAAAGAATACGAGACCACTATGAGCAGCACTTCGCGGAATGCGGCCGTGGCAACGATGTGGACGGGTATTTCTACCACTACGACGACTACATTGAGGAGGCACGCCAAGATGTTCAACGAGCACAGGAGCAGCACGACCATAGAGCACGACACGCCATGGCAGCCCTTGGCTGCTGGGACCACTGGGCGCCACCAGCGGCAACACAATTCCGCCACATGCTACACGGTGACACAGCAGCAGGGCCAGACAAATGGGCGCCCTCGGAGCTCATGCTCCTCCCGGAGGAGGCACTGGAAGAGCTGGTTGACCTCTGCACATACTCTGAGTACCACGGATGGCCGTCGCAACTCCTGCAGTGGCGCCAGGTCCACCTACCAAAAGACCCAGACACAGCACTCCCGGGCCTGACCCGACTACGCCCTATCGCAATCGCGAGCGCCGTGGTCCGCGCCTGGCACAGATGGAGGGCAGACCAACTGGCCACCTACCTCAGCCCAGCTTTCCTGCCCACGCAGGGGGGCGGTCTCAAAGGGCGAACCCTCGAATCCTTCATCGAGCCACGCCTCTCGCTCATTGAGGAGACAATCGCGGCGAACAGGTACGACGACGAGGACGGCTCGCTGACCGAGGAGGAGCAGCGGCTGGTTCGGGAGCGTCAAACGGAGCTGCACGTCAAGTCGTGGGATTATGCTTCCGCGTTCGACAGGGCTTCCCCCCGGGTCGTCTGCGAGGTCTGGTCGCGACTCGGAGTGCCGTCCAGAATCACCAACAGTATCGAAGCGATCTGGACCAAGCAGGAGAGGTGGGTTGAGGTCGGCCCGCTCTTAACACCACGGACAATTCTGGTTGAAGACAGTCTGCCACAAGGGGATCCAGCAGCCATGCTCGGGATGGCCACCCTGCTCATGGGGCCGCTACGACGGCAAGCTGCTCTGCACCCGCGAGCAACCTTTTGCACCTTCGCGGACGACCGCACGGCGGCCACGACAGAGGCATAATAACTACGGAGCATCGAGGAGGAGTGGGAGCTGCTGGAGTCGGTCACCGCGCTGCGCACCAACGACAGCAATACGCAGTCCTTCACGATGCTACCGCACCAGTGCGACAACCGCCACCGGCAGAGCAAGAAGATGAAATGCCTCGGAATCGACTTCACGATGCAACGCGCGACGCTCACGACCAGAGAGCGAGGCAAGCTTGAAGAGGCACTTGCCCGCATGAAGCGGATTGCGTGCCTGCCCCTGAGCATGCGGCTGCGCACGACCGCGGTGAGCACCATCGCGCTGCCGGTGTCGAGCTGGGCACTAGTGGTGACGCCACCGACAAAAGGAGCTATCCAGGACCATCTACGACAAGCACGAAAGGCTGTGACCCTGCGGAAATGGCCCCGGGCAGCTCCCGAACTACGTCGACTGGTAGTAATGGGGCATAGCGCCGACCTACGGTACCACTTGTGCCGGCGAGCACTACAACTTCTGAGCAACAGACTACGTCGACAGGGGCCTGGAGCACTTGCGCTTTGGGACAAGATCACGATCAAGACCGACGCGCGGGGGCCACTCCACGCCCACCGAGCACGCGTGGCATCGCTTGGAGCAGAGCGCAGCGACGACGGCTTCTGGAGAGGCCCGGCGGGGGAGCTTCGACTTACTGACAGGACAGACCGACGGCTCCACGAGCTACGACTCATATTCCGATCCCACGAATGGGCAATCCTACAGGGCCGGAACCGGCGGGAGAGCCCATGGCGGCCGGAGTGCCCTTCCCAGCTGTTGCCGTGCGCGCGGCACAGGAAGCACGGAAAGCTAACCCAATCCTCGCCTCACGCATCGCCGCCGCCCTCTGCGGCTGCGTGGTCTCGGACGCGCTGCTGCAGTCCAACCAAGGCGAGGAGGTCTCGACCACCTGCGACCAATGCGGTGAGCAGCACGTCCCGACGCTCGACCACATGTACTGGGTGTGCACAGCCAGCGCCGTGTAATTATCGAAAGAAACTTCAGATGGATATCGCGTCTGGTCGTCTTGGTAATGGACGGCCCTGACCGTCGCATCACGTTTGTTGAGTTGTGCTACAGGGGGCGTGGGAGGGCAAACAACGCGCCCTTGCTCATATATCGGGAAATTATATATGTATATGTAGATCTACATAGAATAATACTACGAATACTAATACTACTAATAATGATGACGATGCTAATAATAATACTAGTAGTCATAGTAATACTAATAATGGATACATGTAAGTATATTTGTATGTATGTATGTATATTTGTATATATATATATATATATATATATGTAAGTCGGTGCGTATGTATGTATATTTGTATATTATATATTTTATACATACGTCCATCGGGTTTGAACAGTTTTCGCGTTTCCGTCTGTTCCGCTTTCCGGCGCTGCGTGACGCCCCAAGAGGCCCCGAGGATCGCCCCAAGATGGACCAATGGGCTTCAACAGCGCCGCAAGACGGCCCCAACGCGGCTTAAAAACGGCCGAAGGGACGGCCAAGACGGCCCAGAAGGGCCCCAACCGCGGCCCAGGATGGGACCGTGAACCAAGAACCCGAGATCTTTGCCCCAGGAGACTTTCAGGAGGCCTCAAGAAGTCCCCAGAAAACCCCAGCGAGGCCCAACAGAGCCCCAAGAGAGGCCCAAAGGGCATTTGACAAAACGGGATTCCTTCTCCCCCAGGGAACCGTTTCACATCCCATTTTCCTCTCCCTTCCTCCGGCTAGGTCCAGCCGTGGTGAATTGAAGGGCCCCCGAAGTGCTTCTCGGGTCTGTCTTAGGCCGTTGTGGGTGAACCGTAGGAAGTCTTGGATGCCACCTGGGCCGTCTTCGTGCTTCTTGGAAGCCCTGGAGAAAGAGTACCATAATATAAATATCCTGGAGGCTTCGGCCATCCAGCCTGGCCGGAACGCTGTATCGCTATACGTACACGTATGTAGGTATATTTTTGCATGCTCATTGTTTTTTGGTTTCGTGCATACATACATGTATGCACGTTGCAGCTTTTCGTTGCCGCGCCTCTCGCCTCAGGTGTTGGAGAGAAACACGAGCGTCACGCATGTTCGATAACCCTGGAGCCTGCGCGCGTGAAAACACACAGCGACAAATATCACGTTTGACAACCGCACGCAGTGGGAACGCAATCGAGACAACGAGTGTTTTCCGTCAGGGTACGTCGGGCTTCGTTGTTTCGCGCGTTGCGCGGTGAGTGCCCGCGGGCGTTGAGAAACTGTTGCTTTCAGGATATGCAGGTTTTGCCCCCGCAATTGTACCAAGAGCTGGCCTGTCGAACACCTTTGGGCTTCTCCCCAGGAGTTGCTTCTGCAGATTCCAAGCGCGATTTCGGACGAAACGTATCGGAGCAGTACCCCCTGGGTTTCTCCGTTTGAAGCTCCTGGCTAAGAAGCCATGAGCAAGAAACTCAACGGATTTTCAGGGTTGGGTATCTTGCGAGGGTTCATTGCGGCCGCGCTTGCACTGTGCTCGAACCCCTCGTGCCCTTACTTCTAAGCGTGCAGAGTCCACTGCTGCTTGACACCCCTCTCGCCTCGGGCCAGAGGCATGCCCTAACAGAAGACATACGAAGACCCTGGGTCAGAATCCTTACCGAGAACTCGCGATGGGAAAGGGAGAGATTTTTTCGCCATGCGGAGGATGAGGGGGAGGTAGAAAGAGGGGAAGGGAGGACGAGGACGAGGACGAGGACGATGATGATGATGCTGCTGCTGATGATGATGATGGTGGTGGTGGTGATGATGATGCCGATGATTATGATGATGCTGATAATGCTGATGCTGATGATGATGATGATGACGATGACGACGATGATGATGATGATGCTGATGATGATGCTGCTGATGCTGCTGATGCCGCTGATGATGATGGTGATGATACTGATGATCATGCTGATGCCGTTGTTGATGATTATGATGTTGATGATGATGCTGTTGATGATGATGGTGATGATGAGAGTGATGATGATGATGATGATGATGATGATGATGATGATGATGATGCTGATGCTGATGATGCGATGCTGATGATGCTGACGCTGATGCTGATGCTGATGATGCCGCTGATGATGATGCTGATGCTGCTGATGATGATGATGCTGCTGATTATGATGATGCTGATGAGGATGACGATGATGATGATGCTGATGATGATGATGCTGATGCTGCTGATGAGGATGGTGATGTTGATGTTGTTGTTGTTGATGCTGATGCTGATGATGATGATGCTGATGATGATGATGCTGATGCTGATGATGATGATGATGATGATGATGATGATGATGATGATGATGATGATGATGATGATGATGCTGATGATGATGATTATGCTGCTGCTGCTGCTGCTGCTGCTGCTGATGATGATGATGATGATGATGATGATGATGATGATGATGATGATGAGATGAGGAGGAGGGGAAGGAGGAGGAGGATGAGCAGAAGGAGCAGGAGGAGGAGGAGGGATGAGGAGGAAATGGTTAGGATGGGGTGAGGAGGAGTTGGTGGAGGGGGAGGAGCAGGAGGAGGAGGCGGAGCGGAGAGGGAGCATCGCACCACGTGATGAAATCCGTCGGTCTATGGAGCGCATCCTGAGGAGGGCGCGCCCCCATGCCAGAAAGCCGCGCCATCCCCAGGCCGGGCTTGACACGATCGAGCTTGCGGGCCCCCTCTGGCCCTCCCTCCTCCACCACCGCCAGCTGCTCCAGGGGTCGGGGACGGCCAGGGGGGATCGGATGCAACTTCTGGGAGATCAGATTCTGACTTTGCTCTGGTCCGAACTCCAGCTTAATCCCGCTCTTTCCCGCTTAATCCGGGTTGATCCCGCTTAATCTTCCCAATCCTGCTTAATCCGCGGCCTAATTTGGTGTAGCAGCCCCCGATGGGGATTGATTTTCCTCAACCTTTCCGACAAAAAGACCTCCAAGCAGTTGCCTCATAAGGGGGGCCTCAGGGGTCGGGGGCCGCCAGGTGGTGGTGACTGAGGGGCGGGGTATCGCATGGCTGGGGCCACCATGTCTCCTGGGATATTGTGGCTCATTTTTTGGGGGCGCGAATTATTTTTGGGGCGATTAATGGGGGGGGGGAAGAAGAAAGGTGCACTTTTCGGGCCCTGCAAGCCCCCCTTCTGGGGCCCCAAAGGACTCCTTCAGGGGCCCTCTTCTGGGGCCCCAGAGGACTCCTCCAGGGGCCCCAAAGCCTTTTCCTGCAGCTCTCGCTGCCCCCCCATTTATCGCCGCCTCCCCGCGCCCAATTTTCATTCCAACGCGGAACTTGTTCACTCCCTCGGGCCATGATTTGCCATTTTTGGGAAGGGGGTGGAGGAGGGGGAGCGCGCAACGCGGAGCGCGAGGGCTGGGGATGGGGGGGAGGCGCGACGGCGGGTAAGGATCGGTACGCTGGAGCTGGGTACGGAAAGAATGGTGACGAAGATAGGCAGCAGTTCCTGACCATTTGAATCGGACTCGCTGTCGGTGTCGCCGCGGACGTTGTCAATTTTGAACAGATGGTCGCCTGCACAACAGCGGCCGCTGTCGGTTTTGCCTAGCATTTACTGTTGGGCATCGTATTCTTTTTCCCGTGCCCGGCGCCCGTATCGGGCGTGCCAGAAAAAGCCGTCCAAGAGGAGGGAGCGGGGATGAGAGCGGGGGGCCAGAGAGGCGACGAGACTTGCAGATGTCCACTGCCGCTGGCAAGGCCCCTCATGTGCCCAAGAACAGTGTTTTTGGTTATGCCTCCCTGGCCAAGTCAGGAGGGCGTATACACTGCTCCGGCCCCCAGGATGGGCCTTGCCAGGGGCAGTGGGTATGCACAGATCTTGTCGCCCCAGGCGGGAGTGACCTTAGGTGCGCGGCGGGGGGCTCAAACCTTAGCACGCAGGCTGCTACTGTCGCAGTGCAGGCAACGACCGGCAAGAGGGTCACTCTTGCCCATGGCTGCTCCTTGCATGCAGCCCGAGCCCGAGCCCAAGCCCAAGCGCCCGAGCGCCCAAGCGCGAGCCAGAGCCCGAGAGGAGGAGGAGGAGGAGGAGGAGGAGGAGGAGGAGGAGGAGCAGGAGGAGGAGGAGGAGGAGCAGGAGGAGGAGGAGCAGGAGGAGGAGGAGGAGCAGGAGGAGAGGGAGGAGGAGGAGGAGGAGGAGGAGGAGCAGGAGGAGGAGGAGGAGGAGGAGGAGGAGGAGGAGGACGAGGAGGCAAGCACAGCAGCAAGCAGGGCCACGGGAGGCTCTGCCTGCAGGGGTGCCCGGGAAGACCTGGCCCAGCCCAGTCCGCGCGGCTTTGGGGGGCGCGTAATGGGGTGGGCGATTAACTGGGGGGGGGGTCAGCGAGGACGTCAGAAAGGGGCCCATTGGGACCCCAACAGGCCATAGGAGCCTTTAGGGCCAGAAAAGGGCACCTTCCTCCCCCCTCCCTCATTGCTCGCCCCCCCTCACTGAGTCGTGCCCAGCGGCTGAGCGCGGATGGCGGACGCCGTGGGCGAGGTGGAGCTGCTTTTCGGGCCGGAGGTGCTGCAGGGCGCCAGGTCGGAGGCCAGTGCACACGCCCAGGCCTCCCAGATAGGGTCCGAGCAGGTGCGGCTGGAGGTTGGCCGGCTGGGAGTCTCGGGCGGCCCAGCAGTGGTTCCAGTGAGGAGGGAAGGGGGGGAAGGGGTTCGAGGTTCTGGGTTCGAGGAGGTGTTCTGCCTTGTTTCGGCGTTCGGGGGCCGTTAAAATCGGATCTGGGGTGAACAACTGCACCAGATGGGTCCCGCGAGGGATCCCGGGACCGATGTTGAGCGGTTTTGGCGTCATCCCTTCCTCTTGACTGATTTTCCGGGGTCCCAGCAAGTTCAGACCCCCCAGCCGCCTCCAAGTTGGAGGGTCGCGCCGCATCGTCGATGCATCGGCGATGCGGCTCGCTGTGGAGCCCGATTCTCTCCATGCCGATGGCGCCGATGCCTCGCCGACGTCGCCGATAACGCCGATGCATCGGCGGAACGTTGACAGTGCGTCACGGTCCTCCGATCCCATTTGCTCGGACCCCTTTCGGGCCCTGGCATCCGCCGATGGGTTTCTCCACTCCGCGGCCCCAGAGGTCCCCGCTTCGCCGAGGGCAGTTTCATACCAGATCCATGGTGGATGGTCCCGGGGCCCGATCACGACCCCCCAGGCCCAGAGGCCTGCATCGAGGAGAGGCGCCCCGAGCGAACACATCCTCCCGTCGGAGATCGGGGCTGCTGCCCTGGACGATCCTGGCGAGGCGCAGCTGCTGGAGATCACCCCGAGGCCAGGGGAACCGCCGAGAGCCCGCGGAAACGCCCGAAAACCTCGAGGCGCGAGCTCTAGGCCTCCTGGATGGGGTCGGAGTAGATTGGGTCGAAGGATCGCGCCGCATCGCCGATGCATCGCCGATGCGGCTCGATGCGGAGTCCAATTTGCGTCACGTCCACGTCGCCGATGCCTCGCCCACGTCGACGATGCGTCGCCGGTGTATCACGGATGCGTCGCCGATGCATCGATGATGCCCATCTAGGAGGCCTCTACGAGCACCGAGGGCGTCGATGGCATTCTCGGGGCGTGCGCCCTGTCGGCTTCCGCTGGCCTGCGTTCCCGAGCGCGGAAGGCGCCCGGGGTGCGCAGGGCTCCGCGGGGGGCGCGCATGTGCACGGGGCTCCGCCCGCTCCGCCGAGGGGGGGCGCGGCGGCCGTCGTGCGCGAGGTGTGGGCCGTGGAGGCGGCGTCCTACCCTCAGGAGAGAAATGAGCGCACAGACGAAAGTATTCGAGGGAGTGGAGCTCAGAGGCGATTCATGCGTACGCGCCGCGTCGTTTGCGATTTTTCTGGCCGTTTCGCTAGGGACATCCTCGAAATTCTGAAACTCGGTGGCACCCCTCACGCAGATCGTGACGTCAGGGTGAGGGGGAGAAACATCACCCTATTTGACTTGGTGTTTTCTGTGAGTGCAACAAGCTTTGTTTTGACCAAGTCAATCTACACATGAGCCGTCGTACGAGCTGCGGACATATGTACACGCACGCATGCATTCATAAACATATATACAATCCTCCTCCTCCTCCTCTTCCTCCTCCTCCTTATCCTCCTCCTCCT